GTGCCATTTGTCACAGAGTAGAAGAGTTAGTGTGGAGACTTAAGTGTACCCTTTCCCTAGTTCTGGAAATACTCAGAAAATATAGTATAATGGTGTTAGTGCATGTATTGTCAATTTTCTAGATGAACAAATTATTAATTAAGAACTGGATATATTGTACTACAGTCATATAACCACTAAAATATGCCAATCATTTAAAAATTCCAATGCTATGTTATAGTTATTGAAAATGTAAGATATGGACAAGTAGACAATTTCAGAATAAAACCTTCCTGAAGACTGAAAAGAAAGGACCCTCCCCTTTCCATATACTTTGCAGAAGATTGAACAGCTCATATCTTCACTGATACTTGCTTTTTTTATGTTAAAAAATGCCTTTGCATTTTCACCAACATTTCAAGTACCTTTAGTGTTAGTAAAATTGATGCTTTATGTGCCCTGTTTACTATTAATTAAATCCAAACAAGATACCTCTGCCATGGCCGGCACAGATCAAATAACTATTAAGCCTCCCAGAGTTAAGTTATGATCAGTTTTATATCAGTCCATAGTTTTAACACGTTGTATAGCTAGAGTACAGAAGTGTTTTCATCAATCTGTCATATTTATTGGATACCATTTATGTGCCATGAATGTAAATCTTAATATGTTAATTCACTGTGTCAAAAAGCTCAGAAGAAAGATTGAGGAGTAATTAAAGATATGAAAATATAGAAGAAGGGTGGCTAAATTTTCTGCAGGTGATAAGTGTAAGGGCTTTATGGACAGAGAAAATTAATAGCAGAGATTATTTGGAGATCATCAGAGTGGGCTAGATTAGGCTTCAGTCAGACATGTTTTAATTTTAGGTTTCCCATTTTTTCCCCTTTAACCATTTATTTATTTTTATACCTTTTAAATTTTAAATTAGAAACAAATTTGCTTCACATGTCAATCCCAGCTCCCTCTCACGGCCCTCCTCCCCTGTTTCCCCAGCCTCCCCAACCCCCACCCAATCCCAACTCCCCTCTCCAGGGAGGGTGAGGCCCTTCATGGGGGATCTCCAAAGTCTGCGTATCATCCCGAGGCAGGGGCTAGGCCCTCCCCCATGTGTCCAGGCTGAGAGAGCATCCCTCCATGTGGTATGGGCTCCCAACGTTCATTTGAATGCCAGGGATAAATACTGATCTATTGTCCAAGGCCCCAAAGAATGCTGAGACCTCCTCACTGACACCCACATTCAGGGGGGTCTGAATAAGTCCCATACTGGCCTCTCAGCTATCAGTCTGGGGTCCATGAGCTCCCCCTTGTTCAGGTCAGCTGTTTCTGTGGGTTTCACCAGACCAGTCTTGACCCCTTTGCCGACGTTCATTCCTCTCTGCAACTGGTTTCCTGGAGTTCAGTTCAGTGTTTAGTTGTGGGTGTCTGCTTCTGCTTCTATCAGTCACTGGATGAAGGTTCTAGGATGGCATACAAGGTAGTCATCAGTCACATTATTGGGGAAGGGCATTTAAGGTAGCCTCTCTACTATTGGTTACATTGCCAGTTGGTGTCATCCTTGTAGATCTCTGGAAATCACCCTAGTGCCATATCTCCCCTCAAACCTATAATGGCTCCCTCTATTATGGTATCTCTCACCCTGCTCTCCTCTATTCTTGGGAGCTGGGAGAAAGAGAGGGGTTGAAGAGGAGGGGAGAGGAAGACATGGGGGAGCAAGAAGTTTGAGTCGGAGGTTTCCCATTTTTAATAGCTGTGATATCATACAAAAAAATTGTTGAACTTTTTTCAAGGCTCTGGCTCCTTGTCAAAAATATAGAAAATAGATTTTTTTTTGTTTAAGACCAGTTTTTGTTATGTAACCCTCGCTGCCCTGGCACTTGCTGGCCTTAAAATGAAGCAGTCCCCCTCCCTCAGCCTCCAGAGTGCACCCAATTATATCTTTAACAAATTGTTATTAATACTAAATGAATTTATGAAAATAAAATACCTGTAGAATAGTAACTTTTAACAATGGGAATTGTTGGTATTGGTTGCTTTTAAGACTAAATTGCAGGGTGTGTGGCTCATTATCCCAGTATTTGGAAGCTGAGGCAGGAGGATCATTGTTAATGGGAAGACAGCCTGTGTTATACTAAATTTAAGCTAGCCTAAGCTACAGGGTGATCATAAGACGTTTTTAAAAAGATAATAAAATAAAAGTAAATAAAGAAAATAAAAGTTAAAATAGAAAAGAAATTTACAAAACCACATAAGGATCTGTGAGAAAGGAAAGAGATGATAACTTGTGTATAGATTTTACTAGAATATGTGACCATGAATACAGAAGTTTAAGGTGAAAAACAGAGGCAGATGGCAAAGCATTTACACTCAGAGAAAAGAGGTTTGGACATTTTACTGAATAAGATGAAGAAGGTTTTAAGAACTTTGATCACTGGATTGGCACATAAAAGAAAGCATAATCTTACATTCAGAAAGATGAGGTAAGCAGGTATATGATCAATTCAAGAAAATAAAATAAGAGTTGATCTGAAGCAATTCTAAGGATTACAGCATCATTAAATTAATATTTAAGAATGGCTAAATACTTATTGTCTCATTGAAATTTATGAGGAATGGAGACCAGTAAACCTACAGAGTTGACGGAAGAGACATTTGAATGGCTATGTGTTAAAGAATATGTTGAATGAAGAAATACATAGGGAAGTTAAATTTTATCTATTTAATGTGGCACTTGAATGTAGTAAAGTGGGGTATGAGCAGCAACTTGTTGAGTAGTGGAGACCATTAATTACCTTGGAGAAGACTCGAATGACCAGGTTGGTTGGATTGAAAGTAGGAGTTATTTTGAGTAAACTGAACTGGAATGAAATATTAGCTATTTAAGCAGATATATTGTACATGCTATGAATGTACAACTCTTGATTTCAAGAAATTCTATGATTAGAGATAATTTTGGACATCTTCAGAATACATATAGAATTTAAACAATGGTTTAAATGTATGGATGGTATAGTGAAAAAAAAGAAACTAGAAAATTGGGGAAAACAGAAGTCATTGTTTGAGTACTAAATATTCAATGACTGGAGATTATAAAGATGAAGAACAATACAGCAAAACAGACAAGAAATCAGTGTTGTAGAAAGAAAATGTAAACAGTTTTATTTTGGAGATCAAGTGAAGAAAATACTTAAAAGAATAAGGAAGTAAAAATGCATCAAATGATAGTATGTAGAAGTTAGGAACTGTTTTTGCTGACAGGAATAATCCGGTAGAAGGAAAAAATAGGTAATGTGGAAAAGAGAGAGGAGAATTCTAGAACTGAGCTGGTAAGCAATAGGAAAATGAGAGCTCAAGGGAATTGGACTTCATTAAGAACACTGTCATTTTTGCCAATCACAAATTCTATTGGCATAAATGGACACACACACATATTCAAGGTTTATAGTCCCATGTTCTCATTTTCAAAGGTATCACTTTTGCAGCAATACTCCTAAATGTTTAGATTTTAAGCATGGTTAGAGGATATTATTAGTAATTCTTATTTGAATTCACTGCCATCCTCTGTGGCTTCTTTGGTTTCTTAGCACTCCACAGCAGATGATAAAATAAATGGAAGACACAGTTCAGTATTCCTTAGTACCACAGTGCAACAGCTCTAGATGTAGAAAGGGCAAGGAGGTGCTGGGTTACTTGCAGCATGTCAGAAACCTATCCAAGGTACTGAGCTGGTTTTGCTGCTATAGCAAACGCTTTCAAGTCTCTAGGGGTCAAAAAGTGGAATAACTTTTTTTTAACCTTAAGAATTAAAATGTTTTGCTGAGGGTTTTGGATGCCCCCTCTATGTGTAAGATGGAACTTAATTTATCTGTTAAATTATCAGAGCCAAGGACAGCACATAGAGTAGCAAAGAAATAAAGTAGTGTGAAGATTAAAACATTATTGTCACCACACATACATAAGTACATGCATGCATGCATACATACATACATACATATATATATATATATATATATATATATAGAGAGAGAGAGAGAGAGAGAGAGAGAGAGAGATGTCATATATTCTCAGGGGGTGGGGAGGAGTTAGTATTAGACATCCTGCCTTACTTGTCATGTGTAGAGTGTGTGTGTGTGTGTGTGTGTGTGTGTGTGTGTGTGTGTATGTGTAGGCATTGTGTGCTCTTCTTGTGTTGGGGCACACAAGATCAAACTATTGTGAGTTCATTATTGCTGTGAGAGGAACTCTCAGGAGCATCTTAAGTGAGATAAGCTGGGTGGAGTGGGAGGGTGGGGAGCACAAGTATACTGATTGCCTTTAAATGCCTTATCTGCTGCCTGTAGCTTCTAGGTGGCTGATAGAAAAGTGTAAACTCCCCGCCCTAGTAGTATTGGTTACTAGGTACTGAAATGGGCGTGGTTTGGTCTGTAAGACACCTGAGTTCTGTTGGGCCCAGCAAGCTGGCCCTCGGGCAGAGTGTGCACCCCTGAAGCTTTCTGCAGAGCCCCCTGAGTTCCAGCATCCTATTTGGGAATCCTCCCGCCAGCCCGGGTGTTTAGTAGTCTTAGGAGGGCCTGCTGAGCATGTGTAGGGAGCACCGCGCATGCTCTGTGGAGTGGGCAGGTTTAGCAGGCGCGAGCTGTGGGCTTTACTACTGTTCGCCCGCCTCCCCCGCCCAGCACGCCCCCTCCCCTTCTTCCCGCCCCCAGCACGAGTTTCTCGCAACCACCCCGCCCCTCCTCCCCTGCCCCCCCTCCACTCCGGGCTGGGGAACCTCCATTGACGTGCCGGTGACGCCGCCGCGCCGCCGCCGCGGGGGGTTCCAAGCGCCGCACAGGTAACGCGGCGGCGGCTGCCGCCATATTGGCGGCGTAGGGAGCGGGGAGGGGGCCCGGGAGCGCGGGAGGGGGGGGGGCGGCGTAGGCGGCGGGGGGGGGGGCGCGGAGCTTTTCGGGGCGGGAGGCGAGAGCCGTGCGGCTGCTCGAGGGGGAGGCGGTACAGAGTTGCCTTCTCTTTGGGCACAGCAGCGGGCGTCGGAGATCCCTCTCTCCCAGCTTCTGAGGTACCCGCCAGTGACGAGGTCAGCGATCACCGAATACGGGGCTCGGAGTCTCGGACTCGGTCGGGAGCGGGCTCGCCCGACGGGATGTGTGGTGGTGCTGGATACAGACAGCTCCTGTTCGAGTGCTCCTGAAGAGGCGATGCTACCATTCGCTTCTCTGGAGGATCCCTGGGACGAAGAAGACATGGAGGTGTTCGGCAGCGGCAGTGCGAGCAGCGGCAGCGAGGTTAGTGTGGTGGGCGGGACCGGCTGGAAGTCTGCAGCCCAGAGTCCCGGGAGATCCTGGCCGGGCGGGAGAGCAGGGTACCGGTCGAGCCCCCCCCCCACACACACTTCCCGGGGGCTCAGACCTCTGGCTGAATGAGGGCGGGAAAGGGGACTGGGCAATGAGCTCCAGCATGCAGACCTTCTGACTCCCGGCAGCCGCTTGGCCTCCTGAGCTCCGAGCTCCGGAGGTGCGGCCACGCTAGAGTTTGTTCTAAGTTTCTTCACTTCCAACCCGAAGCGGGACGGGACTGGGGGACACGCGCGGTTCCTTGCCTGACTCCGTGCGTACTGCTTGCACCATGCTGCCCTGCTCTCTGAGAATTGGAGCTGAGGACCAGAGCTTGCTGTTTAATTCCGGTGCTTTATGAACTCAGGGAAACAAAAACACACCAAGGTGACCAACTCTGGGGACTTTAACCCCAAGGGATAAGTATTCCTTGGTAACAGCATTCTTATTTCTTTGCAGCCTGCTGTTTTCTTTCTACCCTAGGTGAAGAACTGGCAGACAGTATCTGTGTACAGGTGAACTGCTGCTGCCTGTTCTAAATTCTCCTTACTCCTGCAGTTTTACTTCGACCCTTCTTCACCTTTTCCCAGCCTTCATACCTGACCCGTTGGTGGGTAGCAGAGGCAAAGTGATTCCCAGACATTAGGAGACCGATTTTGGTAAAGCTTAGCCAAGTTGAACCTAAATACTTCCGTTCTCCCCTTTTCCCGCCGTTCTTTCTTCTGAAACTGTACTGCCTGTGTTTTTCACTTGGGCCATGAGAACTTAGATGTGCACAGGTATTTTATTGTTTTGTCACAAAAAGCGAGCCACATTTAAACCCAGAGACCTACCTATTGTGATACAAAGTTGGATCCTTTTCTAGTCACTTAATCATAAGCATAGTTGTATTCCAGTAGAGGCCACCATACACCTCCTAAAATAGTTGTTGAATACCAGTTTAGTATACAACACAATGTTTTGAGGTAAGATTCAGCCAGAATCCTCGAAATCTCAAGGATGAGCCTTTGTCTTCAAATAGTGTTCCAGCTGTAGAAAGGCATACTTTGGTTTATTGTATGGTTACTTGTCCTTTTCCCGTAATTGTTTTAATTTAAACTAGGGTTAGATTATATATTAGAGTAACTTTCGACAAGAGATTTTATGGAAATAAATTGAGAAGGGATTCCAAAATTTTTTAATATTCTACATCTCTTAAGAATGGGTTAAAAGTGAGATGAATGAAAAATGTTAATTTTTCTTAAAATGTGGAAATTCCAACTGCATGTATAAAATGTCTAGCCAGACTATGGGGGTGTGGGGATTTAGTTTCATTCATGAATCAGAGTGCTTAATTTATATAGGAAGGAGGGATCTTTCAAATGTCTGCTATTTTCTCTTTAGTTTTGGTTAACTTTGAATGTAGTGTCTTTTAAATTGTACTTAGCACACATTTCTAAGAAATTTGCAGTGTGTTTTAGATTTTGCAGATAATCTAACAATAGGTCTCTACCTCTGCAATTGTGAGAACTACTCCAGTGGAGATTGGTAAATCCTGTGAAGTAAAACAAAAGCTGAAAGTGATGTGGTGAAGACAGGATTTCTGCTTTCTTTGTCTAAGAGCATTATGCTTGATTAGATTTAACAGAGCACATAACTTTATTAAAAATATTCGGGGTGAAATTTTAGTGCTACATGTTGAGAGACCCATTTTGTTTTTATTTCTTGTTCTGATAATCTGTTCATAAGAAAAAAACCCCACAGTTTTACTTTATAGAATTTATATTTTCATCACACCTTTTGATACTGACTTTCAAAATTCTAGTTTTAAGTTTGAACTTTACATTCCTCAACTGTGATAGTATTGATAACAAAGATATTTTCATTGTGTTATATATGTCAATATATTATTTATTATATATAATGGAACCTATAAAACGTGCTGAAATCCTTAAAGACAATGTAGGTGTATATTTGTTAATTCTGATGTCAAAAGAAATGATTTCTGTGTGTTCAATACTGGTAAGATTAAATAAGAATTATTAAATTATAGCCACTCATATATTTCAGAGTGTTTTTCAGTGTCTTTTACCTTTCTTGCTTATATTAGTAGTTGACAACTTTAGAATTATCTTTCAGCAGTGTGTAAATTGATTGTTTGAGAATCTTAACATGTTTTCCCACAAGAAAACCATTGGCAGTAACAGTTTTAGATCAATGCACAATAGCAAGCCATGCAGATGAAGAGCCTAATTACTGTTTGAAAATTTTTCCTATGGGAAAATGTGTTAGGGTTTCAATCAAAAACTAGTTTGGCTCCAGTGAATAGTGAGTAGAAAATGGGCCTGCAGAAGGGAAAAATGGGATCCATTGGCTCCTGGGGAAAATTCCTAGAAACAGGGACATAAGGTAAGCAAGAAGCTCTGGTTGTGAGAGCCCTTGCAGGCACTGTCTCAATTAGGTCTGCTGGGAATAATAACTTCAAAGGGCATCACCCCTCAGGCAGCTGCAGGTTTAGCTCTTGCCTGGATTCTGTCAGGATCAGGGAAGAGGTGTTACTTGAGATGGTATTGGTTGTTTCTGGGCAAGGGTCATAAAGAAAAGCTTGTTTGAGTACCATGAATTCTTCATGAATTAGTTCCATGAACATTGCAGTTTGTATAGTAGTTTGTGGGATGTTTGTGTTGTTTGTTTTCTTTTGGTGAGGGAGTATTTAGTTCCTTATGGAAGAATTGATTATAGTGTTTTGATATTGCATATCGTATAATAAATATTGGACTAGAATTCTGGTACTTTTAACAATATGTTTTTGTTTAAGGAAGTTAGTTTGGGGAGTAATTTCATTCATTGATGAAAGCAGTTTGAGCTTAAAGCTTTAGTCATTAAAATTTTAACCAGGGTAGATTGATAAAAGTTACAAGATTTAATTAATTTTTATGATACTCTGTAGTAATAAAGAAAGAACATGAGCACTGAAAGCAGATGAATCTGTACTCCAGCCCCTGAATAGATATCTGGTATTACATGTTACTTTTTTAAATGGGAAAAATATTTTCAAAAGTTTTTATGTAAAAGAAATTCAGTGATGTGTTTAATATACTTAGCAAATTGACTTTCATATAGAATGTGTCAAATAATAGTTCTTTTATTTTCCCATTAAATTCTTAATTATCGTCATAAATATAAAAACCTGGGGATGTAGATAGTTATAACCATAGCCCCAGCCTTTCTACAGTCATGTTTTTTTAAAGACCTCCTTAAATCTGATCATTTCATTGAAAGGTATTGAAGTTCTCATTCTGCATCATTGTAATAATAGATGGGATGATACAGAAATAAATAGGTCATATTTAGGAATACTTAGAGGGATAGAAAAAGACAAATTTTATTTCTGCCAGTGGCTAATGAGGCATTTCGTTGACATTCTGTTTTGTTAGGTTTTTGTTGTTGTGTTTGTAATTCTTTAGTGTGCATTGAGTGTAGATAACACATTACAGTGCAGTGATATGAATTGAAGATGTATTCTCAATTCATATTCTTCCCTCATTTAGATGAGCAAGACAGGAATTTGTAAATGAGTGACACAAAAGGGATGCAGTGATGGCAATGGTGGCTTAGGGATACATCTGGTAAGGCCTTTGAAGGAGGTTGGATTTGATCAGGGTATTTTAGAGTGGTAGTATTTCCTTAGTGGCGAAAGAAACAATTCAAGTAGAAGGAGACATTATAAGCAAAACTGTACTCACTTTGGAAAGGAGAGATGTGATATCATTGGGATATGAGTCTGTGCTGTAGGAGTGGGAATATTTTTGAAATTGCATGAGTACAGATTGTATGGGTCTTTTAAAGCAAGTTTATGTCTAAAATTTTATTTTGTAAATGTAAACTATTTTTAGGACATTAAGTGACTTCACATTTGTGCTTTGGAAAATGACCAGTGGCATTGTGGGAGATAGATTGGAATGGGGGAAGTACTGAAGGTGGAGACATCAGTTAGGAGACAGTTGTAGAGAGTGAGATTTGTTTTTGAAGGAGAACTGGCAGGGTAGCAAGATAACTGATTGGAGACATCTTGCAGAAAAAGAATAGGTAAAGCTTAGTAACTGATTAGATTTTGGGAAAAATAGGGTAGACTGAACAGCTGGCATTAGAACCATGATGGTAGGAATTAATTCAGGTAGTTAATACGTACTTGCTCATATAAATCTATGCTAGCCAGTAGACTTGTAGACATAAATATCTTTGAAGCAGAAAGAGAAAGAAAAGTAAGGTTAACATTTTTCCTCTTTAGTATTGTCTTGAACGATAGGAGACTACTCCTATTTGGCGATCTTTGTTATGGTTTAAAATATTTAGTACCACTGTACTTATTATTAGCTAAAATTATTCATGCTTTAAAAATGATCCTTATGTACATTATTCTTATTTCACCAGTATTCATTTGAAGTGATAATAGTCGAATGCTTTTCTAGAATCTGGGGGAAAAGAGTCAGGAGCATCTGGATTTCTTATATACTTTTACCAGGTTCATATCTAATACACTCCTCTCCCATGCAGGTCCCTTCCTGGTTCTTGTAAGTTTATCTTTAAGCCAGTCTGGTCTCCAAATATTCAGGCCAGTTCATTCTAGGGCAGGGCCTCTACATTTGCCTACCTTGATTAATTAATTCATCATGAGAAGTAATCATTACCTTTGATGTTCCATAATAGTACCTACCAATAGTACAACTGTGTTCTTGAACCACATTATTTAAAGCTACCCACTCATAGCCTTCTAATTTCTACGTTTGAGAAGGAAATCAAGATATTGTTTTCTTCCTGTGATTGTTTTCTTGGTTGGTACTATCGTTGTATTTAGTGATAGTTCTAAAGACTTTGACATATGCTTACTTACGTTATTTCTAAGGATTATTATTTATTGATCCTCTTGATAGTTATTTTAGGTGTGCATTTTTAAAATTTCTCTTCAGATG